CGTCATCCTCCACGGCAGCCCAGGCGGCCACGACTCGGCGCGATGGCACGCGGCGGGGTTAACCACCTTCGCCCCCCCGCATTTAAAACGTAACCCGTACGCCATCGTCACCTTCTCCCGACCAGGCTACCTCGACTCCCACCCACCATGCACAAGTTTCGACCAAGAAGCCACGGTCATATCCGACTTTTTGACGGCGATCGGTATCCCCCCCCACAAAAAAGTCGCGGTGATGGCCGTATCAGGGTCCGGTCCCGTAGCCCTCGCACTCCGCAAACGCTTCCCCACACGCGTCTCAGGCCTGGTTATGTTCGACACAGTCAGTAAACGCGTCTCCGCCAACTTCCTCACCCGCGGCGTCGCGAGTCTAACAGCGGGTACAAACACAGTATCAAACACTGTCTCATGGTACATCAACCAAACATGGAGCGTCGATAAATTGTTCGAGTGGGGGTTCATGGGTTCCGACGCACGGGACGAAATGCGGACCGACACCCTCGTTGAGAAAATGTTCCACGACTACCTCCTGTGTTTTGCGATGGGTGCGAGACGGAGGGACGGGTTATCCTCTGACTTGAAACTCCTCCAATCGTTACCCGAAACGCCCGATTGGGGCGACATTGACGTCCCCGTTCTCTGCATGCACGGAGAAAAAGATGAAGGTGTACCGATGTCGCATCCGGAACTTGTTATGCGGTGTGCGGAGCGGGGGGGTGCGCCGGTGAGGGAGTTGGTGCCGTTTCCGGAGGGAAAGCATATATTGCCGTTGAGGAAAACGTCGGCATTGGCTGTAGAATTTTTATGGAAACATGTGTTTCCGAGGCATTGATTCTTTGACTGTTCATTGAAATCGAAATTCTTGCAACGTGCCAATGAAATCTACGGACCTCTATCCTCTTTACATGAACCCCCTGTTTTTGTGTCCTCCCAATTCGATCCGCGTTCATTCGCCCACACCATGTTTCAGAAACTATAATTAATCAGTCGGACATCCCGTACCGTCCCTTAATGAAAATATCGCGTCTCAGTTAGTATAGTGGTCAGTATCTCCGCCTGTCAATCTCTCCGGTTTGGCCGGATTGAACGGTGCGCGGAAGACCCGGGTTCGATTCCCGGACTGAGAGATCGTAAACTTCCGGGACATCTGTTCTGATAATTTTTGCTTTCTTTTTCTTTTCGACACTTTCGATTCATATCCGTTCGTTGATGGCTATGCACACACACGCTACGCCGCGATTGTAAAGTCTTATCAAAATAGGATGGGTATATTCAGATTCAAATTTCAATCAAAAAAAAGGGATAAAGATACATCGGTTTTTTTTCCTGCCTGCCCCCTCGTTTCCCACCGTTTTCCACCGGTCATTCCCCTCTCACTCATTCCCCGAAAAGTAATATAATAGGGACTCCGCATGGGTGGCCCGTTGGCGACCCAGCTCCACCACCAGATTCAGTTTGAACTACCATCCCTTGCCTCACCACCAGCAGCCCGACACCTGTTGCCCTTTATATGCCTGTGGAGGGCGTCTAAGCGCGTAACTAATGTGTACACCGAAAGGTTAGTCAAGACAGAGAAGAAGAGGAAGAGAGGACAGAGGGGAAGGGGTACGCACAAGTAGTCCCACAATCATCACAAGCGTAGGGTTTGAAATTGTCCGAGTGGGTTGTTTGGTGGCGTTTTAGGTCGTGTTTTCGCATGAAGCTGGTGGGAAAGGGATAGGAATGTCGTCAATAAATGGTGAAAAGGAGAATACCGAGGAGAGTGGGGTCGGTGGAAGGTGTCTTGAACCCGCCACACGACCACACCCCACCAACCGGGAAGGAAGACGAGCGACGGCCTCCCATACCACCACTTTCAAAAAAAACCAAAAAAAGACACATCCCACAACACTCACCCCCGCTGACAAACCTCACAAACCCAACTCTTATCCTTGGCATGACTCTTATAATGGTTCTTCAAATTATACAACTTCTTGAACAATTTCCCACACTGGCACTTAAAACAATTGTGTTCCGTCATGCCTGACGGGGGTGGTTGCGGTGGTGGGATACCTTGCCCGCGCGATTCGTTGACGAATAGGTACACGGTTTTCGTGTCGGAGCTGGACCAGTCTTCCTCCACGGTCGATGCGGGTGCCGGTGCGATGGGTGGGGTGGGAGCT